ACTTGGCCAGAGGGGGTCCTTCAGGAGAGGCTTGACCTGGTGGTTCCCGTGATGTCACCAAGCATCCATATTTCTGTCTCTGTTGGCCATCAGGCTGGCCTCAATGCTCGGGGCCTACAAGATGGTCTCCCAAAACATCTTAGCAACTTTCTTCATGGTAGCAAAATGGCTGCCATACTTCCAGGCCTCACAGACCCATGTCCCAGTGTCAGGGGGAGGAGGGCAGGTTTCATTTAGTGGCTCCCCCTGCCCCAGCAAACATGCTCATGGCTTACAGCTCCAATTGGATACTTGTGGAGGTGGGGAGGGGAACAGTCCAACTGGCGTTGGCTCATCAGGGCTCACCTCTGAGCCATGGGTGGGCAGCCCCTCCCAAGCCGCGTGGCTCGGGGTGGGGGGTTCCCCTAAGCAAACTGAAGGTGCTGTTACCAGGCAGAGGGGGGCTGACCTGTGGGTGCCGAATTGGGGTGGGGGTAGCCTCCACCCGTGCAGGCAGGGCTGCTCTGCCTGGTTCACCTCCACAAACCCAGTGCAGAGCAGAGGCCTAGGGCATGGTGAATGAGTGACACCTGCTCTGGGAGGCTCACCCTCCAGCCTCAGGTCTGGCTCCCAAGCCCTGTGCCCACCTCCTCAGCGGTGAGAAGGCCTTTGGCTGAAGCCTCCGGGAGCCAGCCGGGGATCCTGGCCCAGCCTCTGAAGGCAAATGCAGGCCCCCTGATAAAGGCCTGTGGGCACGCCCAGCTGGGTGGGAAGGTCTGTGGTGTGTCAGGTAGGCACAAGAAACCATCCCTAGCTGGCTTCACCAGAGAAGGGGCTTCTGGGAAGGGTCTGAGGAAGTTTGTAGAGATGACGGAAAGGCAGGAGAACCAGTCTAGAAAAGACGGACCTCGGACTCGGGGGTTCTGGATGGAAAGTCCCATTCCTCAGTCACAACGTGCGCTGCTGCCCTGGAGATCAACTCCAGCTGTTGCCTTCATCCTCCCAGTGCGCTCTCAAGATGCAGTTCTACCGAGGGGGCCCTGATTTACACCCTCCAAGACTGCACTCCCTGGGGGAAGGCAATGCTCCAAGATACTGTTCGGAAGAAGGGAGAAGGGATACCAAGGGGCCAAAAGCAAACCAGAACACTGTAATTTACACACAGCCAGCTTCCCGCCTGTCCGGGGAGTGGTTTGTGGTCAAGGAGAGGCAGGCTCATACTGTGCAGGTGCAGGCGAGTCCCAGCTGTGACCCAGGAAGCTCAGCACCTTGCTGCTGGGGACACTGGCCCTCTGGCAACCAGTCTCCCCTGTGTTGGTACCACCGTGAACTTCCTGAGGACTCCTAGGCATGGCCCAACCAAAACCCTTACACACAATTCCAAAGTCCTTGCCTCGCACTCAAGGCCTTTGTGCCCCCCTGCCCGCCTCCCCGCACAGCCTTCCTCTGCTCTGCTCTCCCACTGCTGCCCGACTGTCACTCCAGAATTACTAACTGGACCAGTGACACTCACCGCTCTTCCCACTTCCAGTCTTCCCCTTCCAGGCCCTTCTCATGCAGCAGCACCATCAGACCTCGCCTCTCCCAGCTTAGCACCCTCGTCCTTCCCACCACCGGCGCAGTCCAGGCCCCTGCCGACCCCGCCTGCCTCTGCCTCTTCTCCTGGCTCCCTCTGCTCCAGCCGCATGGGCCCCTTCCTTTCTCCTGAGGCCAAGGCCCTCCTGCCTCAGGGCTGTTGTGCCTGCTGTTGGGAGCTCCTTCCTCAAATCTCGGCCAAACCTCGACTCCTGTCATTCAGGCTTCTATTCAAATGTCTACTATCAAAAAGTCATGTCCCCACCAACCCATCTCCTGTTGTCCTATTCTGACCTGTTATCCTGTTCTGTTGCCTTCATAGCACTCATCACTGTCTGCACATCTTATTTTATTGTCCATCTTCTCACCGCCCCCCAAGAGAGCGTGACACATGACTGCAGGGCCCTCATCAGGCTCAGACATGCCGTGACTAGCGTAGGGCTGCGCACTGAACAGGCCTCTGTGCATCTCCGATGGGCCCTCGTGCTCGCACCTCTCCTTGGCTCTGTGGTCAGCTGGTTGACACTTTTATTCCAAGCTGACTTCAGCCCACATTCCTTAGAGCTAAAGCCAGCCCTCTAGCTAGGATTACCAGCAACGCTGGAGCCTTGCCCAGATGGCATATAAAGATTTCCTCTTTTGCTGTCCTCCTCTTCTGACAAGGGAGGTTTGCTTGAGGCAGCCAGTCCTCGATGTCACGTTTCAATGAACATTTCCTCTAGTCCCTAACTAACTTCAGAATCACGACATTACGGATGAACGGCTTTTCTTCAACAGTGGCCAGAGGAGGAGGGACCTGCCAGCTGGGATAGATGGGATCGTAAAGGCGGGGCCGCTGGTGGCAGCTGGAGCCACAGCCATCCCTCAGCTGGGGAAGGGCTGTGAGTTATGCACGCGGGCCCCTGAGTTATAACTCTTCTGCAGCTAGGCAGCCGCCATTCCTCATAAATGGCAAGCGTGCTAGGCATGGTGGCGTTCCTATTTTATGCGTCACTACCTTCAGCAGCATTGATATCTAGTGTAAATTTTCCATGTGAAAAATTAGGTAAATAACTATTAATAATGCCAGATAGGGGAATAAACAATCTCCTTACAAGCAGTTGCTCACAGAGCCCTCGATTCCACTTTCTAAATACCTCTTGTGTTTGCCCCTGTCCTCCACACCCATTGCCCGCCCCGAGCTCACTCACTGGATGAGTTCCACAGCCTCCCTGCAGGGGTCATGTCCGCCCGTCCTCCTCCCTGCCTCCCGTCAGCTTTCTCAATGCACATTCTAACGGTCTCGGCTCACAGCTCTGAAGCTGCAAGACCTACGTGTTAAAGTTCAGATTCCTTGGCCTGATTGCAGAGGACACGAGTCGCTGGTTCCAGCTGCTCATCAATACTTTCCCATCCCCACTTCTCCTTGTTCCCCAGGGTGGGTGTGTGAGCCAGGCCACACCAATCAGAGCAGCCATCTCTCCTGCCCCTCAAGGATCACCCCTTGGGCATGGGTCCCAGGCCCGCCAGTCAGAATCTTCCTTGGGGTTTCTGAGCCTGTGGGTCCTGGTGCTGGGAGAATATGGAGTTGGCCGGCCAGGGCCACCATCTCCCCTGGCGGGGAGGCTATCTGCGAGAGGGGAGAGAAGGAAACCAGGGCAGCCCAGCAGAGACAAGTGGCCGGGGAGGGACAGAAGCCTGGCGGGTAAAGCCTGACCTCGGCTTCCTCCCGCAGCTCTTCCTGCAGGTCTGTGCGCCCCTCCCCACCTCCCTCAGCAGCCTTTCCTGCCAGGGAGCTGATACCTGTTTTGTTGTTGGTTTTCACTTAAACTAGTGTGAGGTGTGTTTCTATCACAACCAAGTGAGTCCCAGCCCACGTGGGGGTCAGGCCTGCACAACCTAGATGCTTGCCACACCTTCCATTTCATCCTGTACCACCTCCCTCATGGCAGCTTCCTGCAGTCCCTGAGTCAGCTGTTCCCTCTGCCTGCAGGCCCACTCTCCCAGTCTCTTGGCAATTCCTGTGTGTCCTTCCAGAGCCAGCTCTGGCCTCTACCACCATGATCCCATCCTTCTTCGGTGTGACCATCTCACATGGCTTCCACCACCCGCAGCATTTCCCACGGCCAGTACGGCGATTACTGCCGACCTGTGGGTCTCCCCGCCGAGACTGCCTGCTCCCCGAGAACTGGGGGCATCCTGTTCTCCTCTCCCTGGTGCCTCGTACGCCGCCTGCCCCAGAACAGTCTTGTGGGACTGAGCCCTTAACCTGTGGGGTCAGACGCCATCTCCACGTAGATAGTGTCAGAATTGAGTTGAATTGTGGGACACCCAGCTGGAGTTGCACAATTGCTTGCTGTGGGGAACACACATACACACGCGCACACACACACACACAGTGACCAGAAGTGCCAGTAGTAGTCAGTGTGTTGTGTGTAGTATAAAGAAAACCCACAGAGTATTCCTGTACACTTGCTATTACAAATAAAGCCATGACGGTCATCTGTGTACACACACCGTGCCCACCTTTTTGACATTCCCTCAGGGTGGACTTCCAGAAGTGGGATCACCAGACCCAAAGGTGTGCGTGAGTGTTGAAGGTTCCTGATGTCTGCAGAAATTCTGCCAAGCTGAACTCCCACCATCAGGACATCCTACCCTCCTCAACACTGAGCACGAGTTTTACACATCTTTGCATACTTAGTGCCTATCTTTGTTTTAACCTGCTTATTTTTGAGTAAGATTGTACTTTTTTTTTACCTCATGGTCACTTGGTGTGATGAATGTTGTCAAAACCCAGAGAATACCAAAACAATGTATACCAATTTGTGATCCTCCCAGCCAGTGGGGGAGGGGGCTTTTCCGGTGCCAGCTGTTGGGGTAGGCCTGCCTGTCTTCAGTCAAGAGAAAAGTCGAGGGAAAAGTCTTCGTGTTCAAACACAAACAAAACAAACCACGTTTTATACAAACACAACAAACACGTTTATGGAAAGCCTGAAGCCTGGCCTGTCCTGGCCTAAAACCCTCTTCTGGAGAGTAGTGACCCCTAGCGGGATGGAGACAGTGAGGGGCAGGAGGGGGGCTTCTAGGTGCAGGTGGTGGTTCCGTTGACTAGGGAACTGGTCACAGGGAGGGGGTACAGCTGCAAATTCATCAAGCTAGAAGACCCATGTACTTCTCTGAAGGCAGGTTATGCTTCAGTAATGATGACAACAGAAATCTCCCCAAGACTCCCACTGCCCAGCAGAGGTCTGAACTGAGCAAGGAGAGAAGGACCCTCCCTTGTGACCAGGGCCACGTCCCCCTCTCTCCAGAGTCTGCAGGTGGTGGCTGTCCTGACAGGCCCAGTCATGACAAAAAGTATGTAAAAATCATAATAATTATTAAGATTAGGGTCAGCAGCTAACACTGGGGAGCAGTTCTGCATATGCACCACTTCTGGAACCCTCTGTGGTGAGGACTAGCACTGCCCTGTTTTCCAGATGGAGACACATGTGGTAAAGTAGCTTGCCCCAAATCACACAGCAATTAAGCGATGGGGCCAGGTTTGAATCCAGGCAGCCAACCTCAACCCACAAGTCTCCATGTGGGTTGTGGGCCTGGAATGTCCTTCTGGAGTCTTGCCCACCTGCCTCTGCCACACACACCTGGCCTGGAGCATGCCCCTGCCCCGGCGCTCCTCGCCCTGTGTCTGCCTAGTGCCCGAGCTCAGGCCTCAGCGAAGGCTTCCTCAGGGCATAGGCTTGGTCAGCTCGTCTCTGGATTCCAGGCCCAGCACGGCCGGGCACAGTGCAGTGACTGAGGGAATCCGGGAGTGCCGCATGCATTTCAGGCCCTACCCTCCTCCATCCTGGCTACGACCACCAGAAGCTGACCGAGAAGCTCAAGTCCAGAGCCCGCACGTAATGCCAATACTTAACAGGGATAAACAGGATCTCTCCAGGAGAAAGTACGCAGGACAGGAAGGGGGCCTCGGCAAACTTCGGGAACTTCTCCAAGTCAGGATTCTCCACGTCAACCTGAAAAAAGCACAGGAAGTCACCTGCCTAGTCTCGAGACGGGTAGGGTGGGGGAGAATCTGCAATGTCACACTGGGTCCCTGCATGCCCACCTGGCTTGTGTTATGAAGAAGGTGCGTATCATGCGGATACAAAGCCTCTGACGCCCGTGGGGAATACAGCCGAATATATTTCCTCCCAATCACCTGGGAAGAGAGTGACCCCGTCAGCCAACTGCTGCCCTTACCTCCCCCTGCAACCCTCACTGACTGCAGGTCCCTGAACCCAACACCCTCCCCCTCGCCTCTCCATGCCTTTCCACATGCTGTTCCCTGCTCCCAGTCTGCCCCATCCCCACCACACACGTGCTTCAGAGTGCCAAGCTTGTTCCTCCTCAATAACTTCATTACTGTAGTTAATAATTAAGGACTTGACTGTGGCAACCACTATTTAACTGCTCTGTGTGTATTAACTCCGAGCCTCACAACCACCCTCTGAGGTGGTTTGTCATCACCCCCATTTTACAGATGAAGAAACTGAGGCACAGAGAGGTTAAGCCCACGTTCACAAAGCTGTTAGGTGACAGAGCTGGTGTTCACACCAGGCAGTGCGGCTCCCGAGCCCCAGCTCTCAGCCTCTCTACTGCCTCTGTGGACTGGTCCACTTGGCTGGAAGAATATTGTCATTTGTTGACCCCTCTGCCTATGAAAAATAAGGTGGTTTTACAACAGAAACCCCACCTCTTGCAACACACACATGCTCCTCTGTCTGGGTCTCAAAAAACTGTCTAAGGGCTGAGAAACCTCTCCTTATTTGGAGAGAGGGTTCTGGCAGGCAGAAGCTGGCCTGGTTTTGAGGAATGGCAGGCAGGGGGAGGACAGAGGAGAGGCAGCCGTGAGGGTGCTCTCTCCATCCCAAGATGGTGCTCCAGCCCTGTTCTGCCCGAGTGAGGTGGCCGGGATCCCAGAGGATCCAGGAACGACTCCTGGAAGCAGCCCCGACTAGGGAGAGGGCCCCAGCCCGAGGCCCGGCACCAGTTTTCTGTTTTCATTTTTGTCCACATCCCCGTCAGGGCTTCGTTTCTCTGGTGTTTAAATGTGGATAACGTGGCCAGGCCACGGGCTGGACCAGGAAAAGGGGAAGGCCGACGTTCTGGAGCAACTCCAACCTGGACTAGGAAGTTTTGCTGGGGGTCCTGATGAAGTGGGGAGACAGTTCCTTGGGGACCAAACCAGGCATTAATGGTGATCTCTTCTTCCTCCCCGTCGCCCAGGCAGCAGTAATCAGGGATGCTGATGTCCTGCTTCAGCTCTGGGATCTGTGGGTGTCGGAGCAGACGCGGAAGGTCAAGAGCAGGCCTGTGGGCACCCCAGCCTAGAAGTCAACTGACTATCTGACAGCAACGCCAAATACACACTGTCTTCTTGTGTAATAAAATGACTATATCCACATTTTACTGTATAGGAGTTTAAAAATCAATTAAAAATATATATAATTACTAGGGAAGAGTTATAATTTTATTTTCAGATTTGTTTCCATGCCATATGCATTTTTTGTTTCCATTTTTAAAAACCTGATACCTCTACTTTATACTTATAAATAAACCAGCTTGTAATTTTCTAAAGAGTTAAATATTTTAGAAAATCAAATTAAAGAAAAACAAAAAGAAAATGGGATTGAGCGTTTATCACATCTCTGGAGGGGAAGATTTCCCAAAAGTTACTAAGGGTAAAGAAATCACAATTGGTACATTTTAAATAAATTAGTATAAAGACCAATAAAGTAGGAAACTTACTTGAACTAACTGTGGTAAATGAGGATTAACGTACAAAGTTCATACAAAATAATAAGGAAAACACCAAGATCCCAACACTTAAATTACACAAATAATTAAAGGACAAAAACCAGGCAATACATAAAAATGAATTAGATACACAGAAGGGTTTCAGTCCCATTAGCAAAGACATCCAAATTAAGTGTCATCATTTCCTGCTAATCAAATTAGCAGACTAACAGAACAATAATGCACAGTGGTGGTGAGGCTGTGGTGAAAGGGGCAGCCTCACGCAGGGCTGCTGGAGGCATCAAGGGGTGAAACTACCTAGACAGCAACGGGGCAACGTGTGGAAGTCTTCAACCGTGCTCAGGCTCAGACCCTGTTGGAAGTGAGCTTGTGCTCTGCTCCTGTGTCAGAGCTTTTGGGGCCTCGAGGAGGCTGTGATGTTGGGGCTCACGGACTGACGAGAAAGCAGGCGCCGTGGGCTCACTTGCCCCGGCACCGTCAGGGAACGAGTCTGATAAGGTGTACCTCAAAACAGCCAGCGCTGTGACTCGCTGGTGTTTCCTTATCCCCCACCTCTGTCCCAGTCCACACACCCTCTTTTGGACAGCTAGGCCTTCCGACATCTTGGCCTCTGGGAAAGATATAGGAAACTTATAACCAAGACATGGGTTCTTGGCTTCCCACTTTAAAAAGCTGAGCGTGGGTGTAAAGCCTTTGTTTCCCAAGCTGGCAGAAATGGGCTGGGCAAAGAAACAGCCAATGAGAAAGCAGGCACGGGCCTGAGTTTGTGCTTGGAGATGTGCACAGTGCAGCGAGGGGGAGACCACCTCACTGACATTTCCACTTCAAGTGCAGCCCAACTGATGCTCACAATCAGATCTATTCTTATGGTTCTTAGGGACTAAATTGAAGTTTCCATTTAATTTCCCAAAGCCTCCAAGCCACTTGCCAGCACAGTGGGCAATCCTGAAGGTTGGGGCTGGGTGTGGCTGCGGTGGTCCAGCCTCACCTGGAAAGAATCAGCGTCTCACACTGAAGAACCGCTCACCCTGACTGAAACCATTTCCTGAACCGACCTTCAGAAGGCAGGCCCAGGGCTGAACCCACCAGAGCGGGCCTCCAGCCCCACCCACAGGGCACCTGAACTCACAAGCTCCTGGTTGGACAATCCCTGAATCCAGCAGTATTTTTCAAGCTCGAGAGGTAGGAAAACAGGATTGCCTGCTACTGTACTCAGGTATTTTCAGAGGAAGCACGCCCAGGGCTGATGGGACACTGCAGGTGACCTGCCATTCCTTCAGTAGTAGCTACTCTAAGTTCAGGTTGCTGGTTAAGGAACCAACCAATGATCACTAAGACCAGCTGGAATGCCCTCCTGCAGGGAGCTTGGGCCCCGCCCGATACTGCTGTTCTGTACTTGGAGACCCTGTCTCAGCCTACGGAGAAATGCAGAACTGCTGCTGTGTCCACTGCTTTGGGCTAAAGCAGAGTTCACAATCCGAGGTCCCCTGTCCTGTGGGATCCCTCAAGCTATGTGCAAGATCCCACAAGGCCTTTCGGAACCTCCTGCTTCTCCACCACCAGGCTCACTGTCACACCACACGCAGCTCCTGACTGGAATTACACCAGACCCCAGCCCTGTGGAGTGCTGAGAAGCTGACTGGCTCCTCATGAAATCACTGGGATTTCTGTAAGGTGACTGGTTGACTATATGGTGTAATCAGAGCCACTGGCCAAGGATTCAGAGACCCCAAGGTAAGAAATGCTCCCACGACGTGACTGATAATTCAAGGCAGGTCTAGCATGGTGGCCAAAATCTTCTAAAACATAGGGGCCCTGGGAGGAGAGCCACTAAGAGGTTGTTGGGCAAGAGGTTTTGGTTGGGAGCCGCTGAACTTCGTGTAGGCAGAGCAGGCCCCAGAGAGCAGTGCAGAGGCCTGCCAGGCGTCCCCCTCTGCTGGCTGCTTGGGCTGCTCCGACATGCCCCCTGAGGCACTCTCAACCAGAGGTGAAAACATACCTCTAGGGACCAGAGATAAAGACCCAGGTGGCCTTCCAATAGACAAAATGTCTTCCAAGTCTTGGGTCGTCTTAAAAACAATTGTGAACTTTGCCTTCTACTAAAACTGCTTCCTCTTGTTCGAGTAAAATGGAAAACGGCTGCTCCAGGACAGGGAGCCAAGTTTACCTGCCGCTTCAAGGTGGGGAAGCTGTGCCCAGCATGGCTGAGATCAGGGGATAGGCTGGTCTCTTGGAATCACACAGTAGGGGACTGATCAATTAGAATTCCCCTTTTCTTCACTTAGCAAGAGAGGAGGACAGGAGGCAGGATCTACAAGTCCTACTACGGGGAGGCCTGGGGAGGAGACCACAGCCACCAGCCCCATCTTCCCCAGCCCCCTTTAACTTCATGCATGCAGCTCCTGGAAGTTGGTACAGCCCCAACTGGACCTGGGTCCCCCCGTTGGGACAGGCAGTGAGTGAAGCCCCAGCCTCAGCAGTAGAGATGGCAGAGCTGGCAGAGACAGGGCCCAGCCCCCTCGCGGCTGTGGTCCTGACCCGACTCACCCAGGTCTCCGCCGTTCAGGGCACGCACTCTGCCCCTGTCCTGGCCTCCTGCCAAGTGCTGCCCTCCCTGGGCATTCCTGCTGAGCTCCCCGTGGGTGTCCCTGGCCTGGCCAAGACCACACCAGCAAAGTCCCCCTGGACACTCCAGCTCCATCTAACGAGCCGTTTGGGTGCCAAATCTACGAGTCTTCTTTGATTGCTTCCTCTCCCTCAACCTCCACATATCTGCCCGTGTCAGGTGCCAACAGTTCACACTCATCTTAAAACCTCTGCAAGTCCATGTACATCAGCTCTCCCTGGACCTCCTAATGGTCCCCCTGCTTCCACATCTGCCCACTTTCAGTTCATCTCCAGAAAGTGGCCACCACCTTCCTGGCAACACAACCCTCCAATGTTTCCCATCACATTAAGAAAACCGTTCTTCCTCATCTAGCCCCCACCTCCCTCTCAGCCCCATCTGCCACCTCCCACCCCTTCATGCACCCCACACTGAACTGTTCTGCCCCTTGAAGGTGACAGTTCACTTGTGTTGCTCTCCTAGCTGGCACGCCCCTGCTCTCGTCTCCTCTCATGGCTAGCCACTGCTCATACGTCGCCTCCTCAAGGAACCTTCCCTGCCCACTTGATCTAAAGAGCCATCTTGCCCGCCTCAGCCACCTTCTGTAAGGCCGCCTCTTGTATTTTCTTTCAGGCCCTCATCACCGTCTGATGTGTTTGCTTTTCAGGTCCACTGGGGAAGAGGAGCGAGGAGGTCTTCTTTATCCCTGTGCCTAGGGCCGAGCCCAGGGCCTGGTGCCCAGGGGCCTACAGGGAAGCCCATGCGCGGGGGCAGTGTTCCCGCCGTGCACCGTGGTCACAGCCCCAGCCACCCGAGTACAGAGTGAAGAAGCGAGTGGGGCCGGGGGAGGGGTGGATAGAAAGCGACACTGCTCCATTATCTCCCCAGGATGAGCCCTCCCCCCACTGTTCAGCGTCCTAACGAGACGGCCTTGAAAATGCAGAACGCCTCCTGATTCCTGCTACACTTCACTTTGTTCTCTTGCTTTGTTTGCATTTAAAAGTAGCCTATTTTTTCTCATTATGATTACACATACTTATTCCACATGATGTGGAAACTGCAGGAAAAAAGGAGAAATCACTCCCCACCTCACCACCACCACAATCACTGTTAATCTTCTGTGGCATCTCCTCCTGTCCTTTCTCAACAGTGCTAAGATCTTTCTGTACACCGTCACGCTTCCTGATTTCCTCACTTCCCAAAAGCCAGGGAGGCAGTCCACAAGCTGCCACGACCCCTCTGTGAGCTCCGTGTTTGATGGGTGGAGCCCGGGGCCCTGGGTGACAGATGACGCTGATGCAGTGGGTCTGGGTGGGGCCTGGGACTGAGACTGCATTTCTAACAGCTCCCAGTGCCGCCAGTGCTGGTCCAGGGCCACACTCTGATGGGCTCTTCTCAGGGGGCTGATCTGTGAAGGAGAAAGAGCAGGAACAGCACTTCTGCTCCCTGCAGCTTCGTCTCTCCTCCTGCCCCCCTGGGCACTCTCCCTCGCAAGCACCCTCGCGCTCCTGCTGGCTTCTTCCGGGAACACCACCTCTTACTGGGAACGCTCCTGCTCAAAGCCTCCCAGGGCTCCCTGCCGTCTTCCAGATGAATCCGAGTTCTTGGCCTGGCCTTCACAGCTCTCCCCAGTTGGCCCTCGCCTCCTTCTCCTTGCTCCGTTCTTCTGAACAAACCCTCCCAGGCTGCCATGGGGCTCATTCCACTCTGCCCTCTGAGCCTCGGTGCGTGAGGCGCTGCTCACTGGGAGTGTCCTCCTGCCTCCCGCCTCACAGAGGCCCCTCTTCCTCTCAGCAACAGCCTGAGTCCCCCTCCTCTTTCAGTCTTCAACCAGTCTGTCCTGAGGGTCTTCCATCTGGCCAGCCAGGGCTGGGTACCCTGAGAAATTGAAACTGGCCTCTGCCAGAAGTGGATAGGCCCAAGCATGGGGAGACAGCCTCGTAAGTGGACAACTGAGATGTGCTGAGAATGGTACCAGGACCTGCCCAGAGAACTCTGCATCAGGGAAGGCAGGGACTCACTCTGCCACCTTCGCCTGGCTCCCCAGGACCCGTTCATTAGTCCTGACCACACCAGGACCTCTGACTCCATCCCCTGAGGCCACCCTGAGGCCTGTGGCCTCCTCGTCCCCCCGCCCCCAGTCCTGGGACACTGGACTTAGCACGCCCAGCCTCTCAGGCCCGGTGGCCTCGCCCCCCCTCCTGCTGCCCACTGGTGAGGAGGGAACAGGACGACGCACAGAGCGCCTCCCTGCTCACTGCAGGGAGCAGCACCAGTGGTCACGAAACAGGCCGCTCCACCCTTTCCTGCCCTCGGGGGTCAGAGCCCAAGAAGGGATGCGAGAAGGTGAGAGGGTGAAGGACACAGGAGCATGGTCGCAGACTCACCTGGTCAAAGAGCTGGTGCTGAGCAAGGTACCCCGTGTCCTTCGGCTAATGCATGGAGAAAAACCAGAGGCAACACAGAAAGGCCGGTTAGTGGTGGTGGACACCCTCCGGGGGCTGCTATTGCTTAGCTGGCTCTCAGCACCTGGTGTACCCTCGCCCCAGCCCTGGGCTGCCACCCGGGAGGGCCCCCCTTCTGTCCTGCTTGGTTCCCCTCCTTTGACCCAGGGGCTAATGCGATTAGCTCCCTCTTGAGCAGAACTGGGCTGACAAGGAGACTAAGGATCTGGTGCTGCCTCTGCCACTGAGGTAGCCCTGAGTGAGTCACCCCGTGCCCCAGGGCTGTTTCCTCAAATGAAAAATGAAGGGGCTACACACTCAGGAGGATTTTTTTTTTAATAAAAATGGCATCATACTATAGGTATTACTTTGAAATTGGCTTTTTTCATTTAATGATATATCACGAATATCTCTTGAGATCAATACATACATATGTGACTCATTCTGATGGAAACATGTTATATAGACAGGATACATCATGATTAATTCAACTATTGCCCTACTGGTAGACATTCAGGTTGTTTTGCCACAGTGTTCCAAAAAACAGCCTAACATTCTGGTCCTTACATCTATCTGCTTCTAAAAGTATAACAATTGAGTCAAGGGGTATATGCACTTTCAAAAGCCTCCGCCAGGTTATTTTCCCAAAAGTCAAGTCATTTATACTCTTACCAGCAATTAATCTGAGTGCTGATTTTCCTACATCTTTGCACTGGAGATTATCATTTTGTGAAAATTTTTGCCAATCAGATGGGTGAAAACACCAGTGCTTTAAAGACTGGGCTCCACAACGCTTGAGGGGTTCTTTGAAGATGGCTGAGGGCCTCTGTAAGGGTCAGAGGGGCGGAGGGCGCGGGCCACCACTCCCCCCAACTCTGCCAGAGCAGAGTCGGCTTCGGTCTAACAGGCTTTGAGGCTAAAACAGTGTTGAAGCAGATGAAGGTTCCTCCCTAGGATTCCTCGACAATCTCTCCGTCTTTCCATCCCTCTCCTTCATTTCCTCTTCTTTCTGACAAATGTTACTGTGAGTTTACAAAATGCCAGACCCTGTGCTACACACTGGGCACAGCCAGATCTGATGTGATCTCCACCCTCACAGATATTCTGGCCCGTAGGTCACTAACTGCTTACGTTAACTGAGCACTGGCCACGCTGTGCTTAGAGCTTGATGTATTTTACTCTCACAATGACACCAGGAAATAGGCGTTAGTAATCTCTAACCAACCCCAACTAACACTAACTAACCAAAAGTCAAGGCACTGAGGATCCGAAAGGCTAAGTAACCAGCCCAGGCAACACAGCCAGGAAGCGACAGTGCTGGATCCAACGCTGCTCCGCTCAATCCAAAGCCCACCTTCCTGCCGACTCTGAGAACAGACCCTGGTTATTCCTCTCTGCTCTGGGAACCAGGCTTCTGCCAGCCGAGGAAGACAGCATGAAGCCTCTCCAGTGGGTTTATTCCCAGAAGCACAGGTGGACATGGCAACGTGGTGCGTCTCTAGTTCACGGCTCCCTTTTCCAGGCCTTCAGGTGACAGTGAACTGAGTGGAAGTGGGGGTAGGGGAGCAGCACAGGAGGAGCAGGAAGGGAAACACGTCTGTGAGCACTGACGAAGGAGGCCACAGCCAGGGGAACTGCAGTGAGTGCCTGTGGAGCAGGCTGGAAATTTAGGAAGGAAAGAGATGCGGGGTGGGGCGCTCCCTCAGGGGTTCACAGTCACAATACAGAGAAGGCGAATGGAAGAAACTGTTAGCCAGCATGGTCACCAACCTGGACCCCTTGACTGCAGCAGATCCACGATTAAATCTGATCAGAACTGTATAGTGGCTGGACCTGGGGCTGCCATGGGGTGTGGGATGTTGGGGAGCGCACGGAAGAACTGCAAACCACTGACGCTAAATTCGCACACCTTGTGAAGGACTCTGCTCTCTGGGCCAGAACAGGTGGCTGGGATCACAGATGCTGGGTGGACATCCCCTGAAGGGTCTCTGCACCCACTTACAGGCTTCCCTTGCCCCCAGCCCACAGGAATGGTTCAGGCACTCTAGGGCAGACAATCTACATTCTCTGTCACCCTGGTCTCAGGAAGAGGAAGCTGCCCACTGTCCCTACTGTTAAGAATCTGAAATGATAAAATGGTGCAGCTGCTTTGGAAACAGTCTGGCAGTTCCTCAAAAGGTTACACAGTTACCATATGACCCAGCAGTTCCACTCCTAGTATATACCTAAGAGAAATGAAAACATATGTCCACACAAAAACTTATAAAGGAATGTTCACAGCAGCATTTTTCACACCAGCCAAAAAGTGGATACAGCCCAAATGGCCATCAACCGATGGATAAAAAAATGTGGTATATCCATTCAATGGAATATTATTCAGCCATAACAAGGAATGAAGTATAGGACTGATAAATGATATGGATGAACATGGATGAACCTTGAAAACATTATGCTAAGTGAAAGAATTCAGACACAGAAGGTCACATTTTGTAGGATTCCATTTATATGAAATGTCCAGAATTGACAAATCCACAGAGACAAAAAGCAAATTAGTGGTTGCCTGGGGACAGGGGGAATGGGGAACGGGAAGTGACTACTAATGAGTACGGGGTTTCTTTGGAAATCATGAAAATGTTCCGGAATTAGATAGTGGTGATGGTTGCACAATCTTCTGAATACACTAAAAAGCCACTGAATTGTATCAAAACAAAAGACCTGAAATGAGTCCCTAATGTCCTGCCTGCCCACCTGCCTGCGTTCCTCACTCTGGTCAGCCCACTGACCAGAGGCTCCTAAAGAATGACTCCTCCAAAACCTCCCACTGCAATGCATCGAGGTTATTTGCCCAAATGTCATGTGTTCTCTCCCGTGTATTAGGGAAAGGAGTCAAATGACATACCTCATTCATGATGTATTTGCTGATGAACTCATTGACCGTCATGAGTGTCTGGGACCATTCCTCGTCTGTGTACCTAGAACCAACTTCCACTGGGACAGTTCGGCAGCCAGCAATTTCTTGGATATACGCCAAACTATTAGAAAAACAGGTATCGTCACCATCATCATTTTTGCTAAGACTTGTTGGGCACTCTGCTAAATGTGCTTTGCGCTGGTCTCCTTTCATCTTCACAACCTCACGAGGTGGAGACTACTGTTCTCCCCCACTTCCCTGTCGAAGAAACTCAGGCACAGAGAGGTGAGGTTACTTGCCCACCTGGCGCTGTGTAGCTTTGCAGAGAGACCCAATAAATTTGCTTTGCCAAAGTTCTTACTGGGTGGCTCTAGTTCCCTGCTTGCCAACTTCTCTCTTTGCTCACCTTGTCACTAAGCTGAAAAACCTTCTTGGAGGAAATGGCGGACAGCACAGCAGGTAGTGAAGTGCCCGGGTTCTGAACTCCAGTGGCCAGGCACTGACTCCAGGCCCTGCCTGTTACAGACCAGGGGACCTTTAGCAAGTTACTTAACCTCTCCGAGCCCTTGTTCCCCATTTGGGAAATGGGGCTGATGACAGCTCCTGTCTCATGGGAACCAGGGAGGGGGGAGAGAGAGAGAGAGAAAACATGGCAAGTGCCTTTCCTGGTGTCTGGTATGTAGTAAACATGTAATATGCCTGATACATAGTAAAACACACAATGAAGACTTGCTGGGGCGATGGCTCTTGCAGTTGGAATTCCTCCTCACACAAGTCTTAGTGGGAACCACTCTCTCCATGAAACTACCACCACAAGACAAGCTGACTTGATCAAGCTTCCTTAGATACACCTTCTCGTGTCCAAAATTATGCACAGCTGTGCCATTACAGCCACTGTCCAGCTGCCTGATCTGATCTCTCCACCATGAATCTGAGGAAGGACTGGAGGAAGACGTGAGGAGGGAGCAAACACAAGAGCCCAGGGAGCCCCACGGAGAGGGCGAGGCAGCTGTGTCTTGGGTTCTTATTTCTACTGTTAAGCCTCAGGGCCGCTGAGAAAGTCCACAGAATTCCTAAGATCTTGCAAAACTGCATAATAGACTTAACATTACACTGACACTTAAGCAATCATTAAAAAATTGCTTAGGGCAAGCAAGCTATAGAAGGTGAGAATCTTAGACCCTTTGCCATAAATTCAGAGTACAGTAGTTTTAATTCTTGTTTAACCCCTGGCAATCCATCCCAGGGGCTGGTAGTGAAGAGTCTGTGAGGCTGCGTTTACCTGGGGATGATGGGGGAGGAATTCAGGGAGTCTTTGAGGATGCTGAAGTGGGAAGAGGAACCTCATTGCCCTCAGCAGCCACCCACCTCCACTTCTTCATGCACGGCCAATGGTTGGCCACACCTTCCAAGATCACAGGCCTCTCTGGAACCAAAAAGTGCTTCCTGAAATACTGGAGGGACGGACAGTGAAGCCGGGGGACTGCTCTTTCTGACTTCATATCTGGAATCCAAACATGGTCATTCCTTGATTTCTGTTTAAAATCAAAACAAAACAAAATGGTAACAACTACAGAAAGTCAAAATTTGAGGCATTCTGCTAGGAATTTGCATCAATGGTAGGGCAGCTTAGGTGTCATTAATAACAATAATAGTAGTTAATATTTGTCATCATTATTACTGCTGCTACTACTACCATTTACTCCTCATGATATTGTTTTTTTCTTTATCAGTTCATTTAAAATGTTTGTTCAATTATAAAAGTAATATATTGCTTTCACAGAAATTCTGCAATAGAGGAAAACTTACTATCCCAAACTCCACCATCTAAGGTCTAAGTATTCTTTCTCACTACTGTGTGTTTATTTCCCATCTTTCACACATACATAGCTCTGATCCACTGGTAGTAATATTCATGATGAATAAGCAACTCTGCCTCGTCTATCCAATAATTTACCTAAAGCAGTTTCCCTCTTCCTTGCAATGTCTTATGACTGTTTGCATCATAAATGACTTGACCATCTCCCACCTGAGTGACCTGAACAAGTTTCTATCTCTGAGGCTGTTTCCTCATTGTTAAACTACTGGGAGACAAGATGTCATTTGTGAAGTAGCAGGACTCCTGCCTGGCACATGTCAGCTCCCTCTGCTCCCCATTGCTGGACCCCGACCAGTCCTCAACCTTTGCAGCAGTGGTGGCAGCAGCAGCCAACATGCTTCCCTGCAGGCAATGCGCCAGACCTTTACTTTCACAAACTCCCTCATCCAAGGGGCCTTCCCTGACCACCCTACACGAAGCTGCCTCTCCTCGGTTTTCTCACCACCCAAGAGAAGACACTCTTTTAGAGCTTCACTAGAATGTAAGCTCCAGGACAGGGTCCAGGCCCTCTGTACATCTGGGCACCGCCGGTGCTCAGTGAAGCTGCAAGCTGCAAGCAAAGCCCCTCTTACAGGCAAGGGAAGAGAGTGGGAATGGAGTGGGCACAGAGGGGCCAACACACTTGCCCGACTCACAGGCAGTGGGTGGCAGTGCAGGAACATGAACCCAGGCAGGCTGACTCCAGAGCCCGAGCTCTTACCCCGAGCTACACACACTGCCCACCACCACCCACACCATGAGCACCACCATGGGCATGAAGCCACCTCCATATTCCCTTGGGACAGATTTCACATGGGAAAGGGCAGTGCAACCCCTGGGTCGAAGGGGACAGGTATTTGTCCCTTGATCTGCATGTCTACCCTGCCCTCTAAGAGGTCAACCAACACACCATGCCCTTGGCCCCATGGCACCCTTGGAAAAACTGGGTATTGTATAAAACCTCGTTTGATAATTTCATAGCAAAAAATGTCTGCTTCACTGATTTTGCAATTTTTTTAAACCAGAAGTGAGGCTGAACATTTTCCTGCATGTTTAATTGATCCATTTCCTCGTCGTGAACACTGGCCCAGAGGCATTCTAAGTGAGGTCTGCGCGTCCGTCAGCTCTGGGATTTGAAGCCTTCTCGGTGTCACCCTCAGTGTCTGAAGGGTATTCTTTGGCACGTGCACTTAAGTACCAGTAAGGACACATGCGAGGATCTAAAGGGTGGACAGACCAGCCCAGTGAACAGAAGAGAGCTAGTTGTAGTATCTCATTTGAACTCAGCAGCACAGAGACAGGCAGCCAGAAAAGTGGGTGATACTTCAACCAGCTGACCAAGAAAAAGCTGAAAGAGGCGCGCTACAGCTGCAGCAGCTCTCACCCACACAATCTCTTTGAGCTGCTTCTCTCAGGAACCACAAAGCTTCCACCCTCCCTCTCTCCTGAAAGGGCACTGCTTTTGCAGAAACTGGAAAAAAAAAAATCGAGAAAAGAGACTGAGCTATTCCACTTCCAAATCAATGGAGATGCTACTTTCAGCCAGAGAGGCTGGCATGCCACAAGGCCTCACCTCAGGAGAGAGCTGACTCCTTACTTCTAGAAAAACAGGCCCGTTAGATTATGTCAGGTGTGGTCAGTAACAATCCTACCCAGATACCTTTGTGCTAGGCTGCTCCTGGGTCGGGCCTTGGGCAGGCCGTTTTCTAGAGAGAAGGTGAGTCTGGAGGATGGCAGCGACTTTAATGAGGATGTCCCCAAGGATGGCTGCCCCCATCAGCAGGCCCATGTCACAGACTTTCAGGGCTGCGGCCACAGTGGTAGCGTCCCCAGATGCCTCGCACAGACACACAGCTTTCAGAAGGCAGCCAAAGGAATAAACCCGCCGCCAGTCTTTGTCCACGTCCCGCCATGCCCCTGTGTTGAGCTTCTCCCAGGAGTAGTCAATGACCGCCTCGCTGATCTGCAGACACTCGCTCCTTCTGTCCCCATAGAAGAGGTCGGTGGCTTGCTGCAGGAGCATCACTACGCTCCTCTCCACTTTCTCACCGAGGTCCAACTTCAGTTCTTCTTTAGTGGGGGGCAGGAGTGCCCTGAGGGCCTCCCACAGAGCACCTGTTCCCACCAGGGGGTCTCGGTGGATCTCTTCTGCCATCAGGCCCACCGTGAGCTCAGTCTGACAGGTGCTGGTGGGGGAAGAAATAAAAGTTATAGCAAAACACCACGTTGTACACCTAAATATATATAATTGTAGATTTTTATAAGATAAAACTGGGGGAGAAAAGCTAGATCTGTGATGACATCCAGTGGCCAGCGAAAACCACTGAGATTTAAAACATATATAAAGTATTTTCCTAAAAAAAAAAAAAAGAGTGAGACCATGCACAGACTTGGACCCCTCTAAGTTCCCACAGCTCCCTATAGGTGTCCTTTGTAATGCACATCTCATCTGTAACGATTCTTCAACCACGGTCTTCTCTACTAGGCATAAACTCTGCAGGGGCCCCCACCTGTCTGAGGTCACCACTGTATCTTCAGGGCCTGGCACAAGAAGACTCTACTGCCCCTTGGCTTGTATGCATTGATGAAGCAAATGGCCAACTTGGCCCACACGGCAAAGAACTGAGGATGGCTTAGAGCCAACAGTAAGCCAAAAACTAAGGCCCTCAGTCCAACAGCCCTCCAGGAACTGAATTCTCCCAACAGCCACAGGAATTTAGACCCTTGTCCAGTTGAGCCCTCAGATGAGAACTTGGTCCTGACTGATACCATAATTGGAGCCTTGTGAGAGATCCTGATGCAAAGGACCCAGCTAAGCCACACCAAGACTCTTGACCCACAGAAACTGAAATAATAAATGTGTGTTGTTTTAAGCCACTAAGTTTATGGTGATTTGTTATGCAGTAATAGATAAGATAACTAATAAACACCCCTATCCAGATTTCCTGGACACCTTGGGACTCAACTATAACTCACACAAAAGAACACGAGAAAGCATGGCTTCCTTTAGCTCCAACGTGTATGAAGAAGTCAGCAGTAGATAGGAAAGCAAAGACATATTAAGAACGCCAGAAATAAGTCTCTGAAAGTAGGCTAAACAACCTCATCCCTATCTCTGGGCTCCATTTTAGCTCCTTTTCCCCCCAGCTCAGGAATAACAATAACAGCAGTCAGAATACTGGAAGTATTACATGGATTACCTCATTTAATCCTCACAATGACCCTAGGAAGCTGATAATATACTTACAAAGTGTTTACTGTAAGCCAGGAATGCTCTAAGCACTTTATGCATCACTCAATTCTTACAGAAACTCTAAAAGTATTATCATCTCCATTTTACAGATAAGGAAGCTAAAGTAGAGAAGTTACATGATTTGCCCAAAGCAATTCAGCTAGTAAGAGGTGGAGCAGAGATTTAAAACTCAGGTAGTCAGGCCCTCAAATCCATTTTATAGATGAAGGAACTGAGCCACAAGATCTTGAGCTAGCATGTGATGAAGCTGGAAATTTAGGTTGTTTCTCAGAAAACTCGGAGGAAGGAATTATTGTTTCCATTCTACGGATGAGAAAACCCTATCACTTCACATAAGGAAAGGACATATCTTTCCCATTTGTCACTATTTTTGAAGTACCTCTTTCCAGGCCTGTCCTAAAGTAACAGCAATAATTTAGAGCTGCTGTCTGTTCTACAATCTATACCATGGTTTCCCAACCATTCCTCTCCGTTTAATTTTTTTCGTTCCTCACGATATTGTGAAATGGATAAAGATGTATGTGATCTTTTTCCCTACAACCTCACCCTCTTTTGCTGATGAAGAAACTAGTTGGACCATTGTATCCTAGCTTAGTCTTTGGTTCACTATGGATATCCTTCCTAGCTGGCTCAGTGAACGATGGGACTCAGAGGGCCTGAGTGTCCTGGCCCTAGCCTGCCAGGATGATTTCTATCTCGAGCCTCCTAATGTCTTGTGTTGGCCTCATTAACAGCCTTCTTGGAGAGCTTCACAGCCCAACCTTCCAGCTTGGCCTTATCCGCTAGACACACACAAAATAGCATGTGTACCCATCAACCGGCCTCCCTGGGTGGCTACACGGCTCGTCCTCTCAGAGCGTCTCACATGTCTTATAAAGCAACATCGAAAAGTCTCATCTTGAGCATCCAAAAGACCTCAGAGGCCTCATATCCCAGCTTCTCACCAAGGTCTATAAAAAGGCCTCCCAGAAGACCACTTATTTGCCTTGCTATAAAAATGGCTTCCACAGGGGCCTTATGTGCCAGCTTTGTAAATTGGTCTCTTAGTGGCCTTATAAAATAGCTTTTCAGAGGGTTTTAAATGGGCTATAAACTATAAAAGTTTCCAGAGATGCAGATTATGGACTTTGTAACTGGCATCCCAGGGTCACCCTACAAAATAGCCCCTCATAGAGCTCACAAAGGCCTTAGAAAGCCAGCCTCTAAGGTGGCCTCATGTGCTGCTCCGTAACCTGGGTTTCCCAAGTGGCTTCATATGCTGCTTCACAAAACGGCCTCCCAAGGTGGTCTCATGTTTGGTCTTCATAAACCAGCCTCCTAAGGCAGCCTATGTGCTGCTTTGCAAACTGTCCTTGGAGAGGGCCTCATGCAGATGGCCATGTGAGATAGCTTTCTGGGAAAGAGGGCCTCAAGTTGGCTGTACAAAACAGTCTTCTCTTGGCCACATAAAACAGCCTTAGTTAGTTGGTTACTTACTTATTTATTTAGAGGAAGATCAGCCCTGAGCTACCATCTTGTTGCCAATCCTCCTCTTTCTGCTGACAAAGATTGGCCCTAGGCTAACATCCGTGCCCATCTCCCTCTCCTATATATGGGATGCTGCCACAGCATGGCTTGCTAAGTGGTGCATAGGTCTGCTCCCAGGATCCGAACCTGGGAACCCTGGGCTGTCAAAGCAAAGTGTACGAACTTAACCGCTATGCCACCAGGCCAGCCCCCCTTAGTAATTTATTTTTAATCTAGAGTTCCTCAGTGAATGGCCTTACAAAAACACCTTCAGAGTTACTTCTGTTGACACTGTATGACATAGTCTTCCAGAGGTGGGAGCTTCAGGATAGCTGAGTTCATTTTCAAAAGGGTTTTTGAGATTGCGTCTATATTAGCCACTTCAAATGGCCTCTCAAAGGACCTCATGATTGAATCTCAAAACACTAGCCTCCCAGAGGGTCTTATGTTGGCAGCATGAAGCAACTTTACCTGGTGAGGTGGCATGCTGGCCATTATCCATCTGAGTAACCTTACAGCCTGGTTCCACAGGCTTCCCAGAACCTTTACTTATTTGGCCTTTTCAATAGTTCCCATATCAAACAGCCTTTGGGGGAGGCGCCATACCCTACTATATGAAACAGTCTTCCAAAGTAGCCTTATGACCTGTTTCAAAAGCAGGCTCCCTTACAACATTGAATATTGGGCCCTTGTCTGAGTGGAAGGTGAATCTGAGACTTTGTCCGAGATTTACAAACCAATGTTCCATGCTTTCTTTATAGGGCCAGAACAGCGTTGTTTGTTCTATCAACCAACCCTCCAGAGAGCAGCTTCACGTTAGCTCCTTTTAGCCATGTGAAATGGCCTTAGAGAGAGGGCCTTCCCTGGGCCGGGTGAAACACCTTCTCGTTGGCTGTACGAAACAATCTTCCAGAGAAGCTGGCCTCACGTGGGCTGTAAGCAGCCGCCTTCACACAGCCTACCATTCGATAGGGACTTCCAGTGAAGGTCAGGAAAAGGCTACATGCAACTGCCTGTCTAAACGGCCTCACGTCCTGGCTTTACACATCAGCCTTCAGGCATTCCCCACGTAGTGGTCCCATAAAAAGGCTTCTTGATAATCGTCTCCAATTGCCTCCTTTTCCAGAGGAAGGCATCAGACCCAGTAGCCTTGTGGCCTGGCTTCCCAGAGGTCCTCAGTGAACTGCCTTTTATAAAAGGTTGTACTAAACAAACAGGCTTTCAGAGGAAGGAGTCAAGGATAGTGTGTGAAACAGCCTCTCAGAGGGGTGCTGTAGCCTGGTCTTTACACCGGCCTACCAGAACCCCATACCAAAGGGCATGAGCAGGCTGTGTAAGCAGCCCTCGGGTGGTCAGGCACGGGTGGGTTAACTACAGAGTTTATGATACAAACTAGGATGCTACAGAGAGGCTATGTTTTTTTTGTTTGGTAAAGTATACATTTATTTTTCTTTTTTAAGTTTCTTTATTCTCATCATTTTCTCCAACGTTTATGTGTTTCATTGTTTGGAACTCTCACTTCTGCACAAACCGAATACTGGGAGTGCTGTTAGCAGCCTTCAGGGCTAACATATATATAATATTTCATAACATAATATTTAACATTTATGACTGGACAAGACACAAACTGGGGTTATTCCACGCAAACAGAGACCTGTGGTCACCGTAATCATAGGCCATGTGGAAAAGCCTGAGTGGCCTTCTGTCCTCACTTTAAAGTCCATCTCCTAGAGCTCGACCAGGCACGGGCCCTAAAGACCTCTTGCTGGTCACAGGCTTTTTCCTGAAGGGAGTGAGGGTGGAGGTGCTGCGTCCCGGCTTTGTAAGCGGACCTTCTCGAGTGCCACAGCTAGTGACCTCACGACACGGGACCACTCCCGGGGAAGGTCAGGTCGGGGCGGCATGAAGTAGCTTTTCCCAGGGCACTCTCTTGGCTGCTCACATCAAGGCCCGTCTGCTGGCCTAGGAAGTGATCTTCCTGGAAAGCGGGTCAGTCAGAGGTCGCAGCAGCCAACCTCTCGGAGCGGCTCTTGTCTCGGCTCATAAACCGGCCAACGTGAACCTTCTAAAAGGCTTCCTGTTGGCGACATTAAACACAGAGGAGCGAAGCACAGGCTGGAGGAGACAGCGGGATGGACTCGGGTCCTGACCCGATAAGTCACCCTCCAGAGGGAGCACGTTGTGTAAGCTGGCCCGCGGGTGGCCGTCAGGAGACGGTCTGACATAAAACCGTCCAGGACGCACCCATCACCCCCGAATTCCCTTCAACCGTCCTTAGAAACCTACAGCACCTCCCAGAGCAGCCGTTAAACCGGCTGGGCCAAGCGGCTTCTGGGAGCCTCACCGCGACCCCCAGAGCGCCCCGCCGGTCGCCAGAACGCCTTCCACAGGGGGCT